TAACAATAGGTGTTAATTAGGTGTCAACGATAGCCATGTGATGTGAGTACCAGTTACATGGAGGCAGTGTTTAAAAGGTCATCTCTTTATGATAATTTCAACTGCGTCATGCAGCAAACTTTTAGCCCCGTTTAGCATTTTCAGATTTTTCTACCTGTTTAATTTATTTTGTGCTTAATTCAGTTCTTTCACCTACAGTTAAATCAATTTTAAAGATATTGAGGTAAATTTTGGTGGTATGAGTCAATAGGGTTCCCCACCACAAGCTGAAAGCTAACTAGCATGTCAAGATGTCTTGCAAAGATAACACAAGCTGTGTCAGTGGCTTCTATAAACTTTTTTCTGCTTTTAAACTATGTTTTACTAAAACTGACTATTTTCTGCTAATTTTAGCTACATGTCTGCTTTGTTCGGCTTTGACATAATTTATTTTTCTACTGATTTTTTACATTTTCTTACTTTACGCAAAATTCAGCTGTTCAAACTGAACTCAAATTTTKCTAATAAATATTTTCAGCTTCTTCAGCAGCTTTACGCATGCACGCTGTATTTTCACAGAAAGTGCAAATTCATTCATTTTTTTTCTCACAGCTGTCATGTTCTTGTTTATTCAGCAGCTTTCTTTTGCTGTTATGGTTTCCGGTCATTTAGTGGAACAAACAGTAAACCAATTAAAGTAGCTGCTGAATTGTTTAAATCTTTTGCCTTTATAAAAGAAGGAAACTTTCCTATCCCACTTTGAGCACTGGTTGGGATGTTGAGCAAATGATTGTTGGAAAAAAAATATATATCAAGCATGCAACTGATGTGGAAAAAAAAGTCCAACAACTGGAAAGAAAGGGCACATTYAGATAAAAAAAACTGCATCAGTCCTCAGTGGGCTCAGCAAAACCAGATGTTACTGCCACATGTCATTCAACAGGAAGGAGAGAAAGAGTGAGGAGAGGGAAAAAACAACTTGAGTGCAAACATGCCATTATTAAATACTGATTGTTATTATTCTGGGTTTATGTGTTTTAGTAGTACTTGAAAGAAGGAAATGCAATAAATCAAAGTTAGCTGTTTCAAATATACACAAACAGTGGGAGGAAATTACAAACTGGCTGTCTCATCTGAGAAATGAGCTCCATAAACCTTTGACAGCATAATAATAATAATTATTATTATTCCATTTATCAGATGGGACAGAGCAAACAACCACTTCTTTCATCATGCTCTTTCCCCAAAAACAAACACTACAAAGTTCCATGCACCTTTAACAGAAGAGAATTTCCTGCACCCAATTCAACTGTTTGTCACTTGTCTTGTTTGAAAAAACGTAYTAAAGACCCCTCTGACGCTGCGACTACCTGATGTAGGCTGAGTGAAACAACACAAAGTCTTTAGTTTAGGCTCTGCCCTGGTCACGCCTGATTGTTTAGGTGTTTGTTTTGTCAGCTCTGACTATTCGGCTGAGAGAGGAAGTGAAGGAAGGTGAAGGGATAGACTGAGAGATAAGTCAGCTAGGGTGGGCTACACTTTACCATCGGACTGATCCGGGAATACTGCGTTATCATCGGCAAAGCAGCGTGTGCCTGATATGTTACCGTAGTCAAATATGGGCCCTTCCAGCAAAGTCACAATATCCAAGCGATTGATCTTAGTCAGCACCGCAGTTAAAGTGTCCGCTGGAGAGGAGAGAGACACACAAGTCAGGTTCTAATCACGAAAATATTCAGATAATCACTTTACTGACTCAATCACAAGAAGGCAGCTGTTAGTAATGTTCTGTAGCTCAGCTTTAGGTGGATCAAACCGAACTGAACCGCATTCATGAGGGAGACTCCAGGATGTCTCGCAATGTCTTTCATTGTGTTGCAGAGAAGCATCATTCAAAAATATTTGTTTGTAAAGCTGTATAGTTGTGATTGAATCATCTGACACACAAACCTCCACAGTRGGCAGGACTTTAAAGGGGACATATCATGAAAAATACACATTTTTACTCGTCAAATACATTTTGTTGTGTTAGAATCTCTAGGAGGCAGAAAAGTTGAATTTAGTCTCTCCTGGTGCTGAATAGATATGTTTATATTCTGTTGGGGTCATATTTTCCAACCAGTTCAGTTTTCTCTATTTTCTATGACGCTTTCCGAACTATTACGTCACAGTCTGGACTTACCAACTACAATTTGGTGGTCTTCATTSTCTACTGGCTCCGACATGTAAAGCTGAATCGACAAGTCTTCGCTTGTTGACWTCTTTTAGTWCATTTGTAAAKAAAAAKCAGCTACAGTAGATAGTTGTAAACCCCTCTATCAAACTAGAATGGACTGGTCTGGAAGCTGGAGGGGCGGAGTGTGAAGTGCCTCGTTTGGATTTAAAGGGACAGCCTCAAAACGAGTTGATCTGAGACACACCTCAGAAAAGAGGTGAAAGACGGGCTTGTGGAGTTATAATAAGGAGGAATTCAGAACAAAGCATTGCAGTTTCACTTTATACGGACYCCAACTGAAGGATTTAAATGCAAGATATGTCTCCTTTAAAACATGTCTTCTGATATGAAGGTCATTATCACTCGTACACATATTATAAAACACAAACAACCTCATGCATTTTGCTTACTTGTGGCATTTTTACCATCCCTGTGCACCCATTTCTTTAGGAGCATGAAGCTCTGTGCCGTCAGGGAGTTGGGGTTTTCCACTCTGATCAAGTTGATCTCTTCCACAGAGAAATCCAGCTCCCTGGCCAGCTCTGTAACAGGTAACAAACAGCACATATATGATCCTTTTGTTCAGAAATAAACAGCCAAAACATTGTGCTTAAACTCTTATAAATTGCACCATTTGATGTGATAATTTTTTATGGTGTAACTTTGAATTTAAAAGATACCAGCATGCAAATTATCTTTAAATATCTCCTTTTTCAGCATTAAAAAACAGCAGTTAAAACAGAAGCAAAACAAGAGAAGTAATGTGCAATCGTGAAGCCTTTATGCTCCAAGCTTTGTCTTGATCCTTAGGAAATTAAAACAGTTTTTTTTCTAAACTAACTAAATATCAACAAAAGAATTTCCATTAACAGTCGACAGTGCAAATCTGAACCCATAAAGAACATCGTGTTCATCACAGCTTTGCAACAGAAACACGCATCAATAATTGATCCGATTCCAGGTCGCTACACCGTACAGACAGAAATACACCCAGAACTAAACTGTACACAGTTACAGAGTCACGCCCAGCTGCACGCGTGCAGGCAGGCGTGGGGTGCAGTGCTGCAGTGCCAAGCTGGAGCAGCTGAACTGCAGAGGCCACGCCCCTGTCACTGCTGACAAAAATATACACACTCATTTCCACCCTAACTCCTAAAATCTGTCATATTGTGTGATTCAGGAACGTTTAAAACAAAAAGTATCTTATTATGATTATTATATTTAGTCAAACCAGGTGTTAATATGTTTAAAATATAGATGGAACTATGCAGCATTCAGCCATAACACAACTGACAAAAGTATCACTATGTTGTTCAGCTGGAAAATTCATCTTCCCGATGTTTACATTGACGTACATTAGTTTGGCACCTGACACCCACAKTTTCCCAGCAGCAGCACTCTACTGTAGCACAGCCTCATTGTGGAGGACAGAAATTTGATCCTGCAAAATTAAATTGCTTACAAATTGTTAAAAAAACACAACAAAACTCCCAAACCAAATGACAGCGAATGTTTTGCTACCCTGGTGCCAGATGCTGTGAGTCATTCTTTTATAATGGCTGATCGATGTAAACAGCACTGCAGTACTCCTAGGAAAATAATTTAGACTAAATATCCACCAGATGGCAGCAAACACTGTAAAACTACAGATGTGGAATCTTTTACTGGTGTTGCTGAATGACTACATGCTGGTTTTTACATTATTTGGCAGAAAGTGAAAAACTTGTTCAGACTCACCGGTCCAGCTGAGGCCGAGGTGGTCGGCTACTATCGCCATGCGGACGTCTGTCCTCTCACAGGGGCTCTGAGGGCCTGAGCGAGGATGCAAGGAAAGGTGGGATACAAACAATTAAAGTGATGTCATGACACCAGAAATACAAAATGGTTCCCAAAGGGATCAATATTTAATGAATGATTGGGATAGTGAACTGAGCATTTATGTTAATGTAATCTAAGGCTTGAGTAAAATTGATTAATTAAACAAAAGCTGTTGAGTTTTTCTGATCCAATGTTTTTATTAAAGGTATTCACTGTCCCAGGTCTCACAGAGTTTCTGGCCAGACTCTCCTCAAACTTTACAAGGTATCTGGTGACTTCCTGGTTAGACATCTCAGCTGAATATTCAATAAGGAACAAAAACTGAGACATAACAAAACCGACTAATAAGATCTCTAAAAAATTTAATACATTTTATTGTTTAATATGCACAAAAACTAAAAAGTGGAATCTGTGATTACTTTTAAACTAGGACATTTTGTTCCAAAGATTTGTTGGCATTTTTAAAAGTCATTATAACTTACATTTTACAATCACTTAATTTCTGGTAGAAATTACAACTCCATAAAAAAGCAATTATGTTATTTTTTAATATAAGATTTATGAGATAATCCATTTTGGTTTCAGTACATTTTTCAGCACATATCACGTTCCGCAATGTTTGTGTGATTTCAACTATTCATATATCAAAACTTGTAGCTCCTTTAGAGCATTCCTGCTATGACTTTTGTTACTTCAGCAATTTATACTTTTTGAGATATTTAGCTTTTTTGGCTATTCTTGTTCTCATTGAAAATAAATGTAACTGTCTTCAACATCCTTAAATACCTCTAAATAGTTAAACTTTTTCTGCACTTTTCATTTTTGATTTTGGTTCTGGTTTTTTAAAATCTTTGYGCTTATTTCAGCTTCTTTTTTGCTAACATAAGTGTCCTACTTTTCAGCTATTATTTTGCTCTTTTCAGCAATTCTGTTAATTTACATTTTAGTGCTTCTATCAGATTCTTTCCGCTAATTAGTTTTTATGCATCTTTCAGCTGTTTTCTGTCATTTAAGCTACTTTTTAGTATTTTCAGCTCATTTGTTTTCAGCTAGTCACCTTTTAGCATTAATTTTAGCTACCTACTGCTTAATTCAGCAAATGTGCTCTTTCTGCTTCTTTGTGCTAGATTCAGCTTTTTCAGTTACTTTTTAGCTAATTTTCTGCTAATTTAAGCTTTTTTTAAGCTATTTTACAATAAATTATTGAAATTTTGTATATCTTTTCTTTTTTTTTTTTTTTGCAATTATCTTTCAACAATATGCATTCATGCAGCATTTTCACAGAGAATACAAATTCTATTGTTATTTTTGTTCCTTAAAAATTAAAGGACTAAAAAAGCTGCTTTATGAAACACTGAACACCCCAAACATTTTGATTTTTTTCCCCAAAATTACATAACAAATAACCATCATATTCTATTACAGTGATTCCCACTAATGGGCACTCAGGAGAATAAACACTTCAGACAGGTTGATGACCATGCTGCATTGTCAAAGACCTACACCAGTGGCATTCAACCTTGGTCCTTGAAGGCTACTATCCTGCATGTTTTACTTGTTTCCCTGCTTCAACACACCTCGACTGGATTATCTCTTGAAGTTCTGCAGAAGCGTTAATCAACATTCAAATCAGGTGTGTTGGAGCAGAGAAACCTCTAAAACATGCAGGATATTAGCCTTAGAGGATCAAGACTGACCAATAAATTGTGAAAAATCTCCCTCAGTGTCAAGGTAATTGTGATGTTGTTTTGCTCAAAGTACTTGATAAGTAAGATTTTCCTGTTACTTTCCATGATCCTTAGACACTCTCACTTTACTCTCTGTGATTACATTTTGGCATGAGTCTCTCAAACTGTGTCACAATGCAGCTATGCACCAAGATACCATGATGCCACAAGTATTACATCTGTACTGAGCAGTTGTAGCCCACGAGTAAGGGAATCTCAGTATATATATTTTTGACTAGCTTCAAATTGTTGACCGCTAATGTGTAAATAAAATATGTATCTCATGGTCAAAATAACAACAGAGTCAGCTGTTAACTAGATTAAAAGATTGAGGATTTGTATGGCCAGAAAGACAACAGAAGTCACGCATGAACACTGAAAATGTTTGCTCTTCAATACTATTAGTAATATAGATTTTAGATTAGAAGAATACCACACCACTAAGCAGAAACACTCTACTGTCAAGCAACATTCCCTCTCACTTATAAAAACAACTTCTGGCTTCAACTTGAAATCAAAAAGAAGTCCAGCTGCACTCGGGTTCTCACACTATATGCAGATGACATTCACATGCTTCCAAGTTGAGCCAAGGCATTGTTTTCACAGTGATTCCAGAAAGCAAATACTACACAATGTCTACTCACCAGGCAAACAGACAAACAAAAACTAGGTTGAATTTCCCTCCCCCAAAATGATTTACTTCTAAGTCGAGATCAAGTGATGTGGAAGTGGGTGCAGTCTTCAAATGAAATGCAACTTTATCTAGTTGTGCAATGAAACAGAGGTGTGCTGTGTAACAAACTAATTCATATTCCACATACAGCCTTCTAAATGCAAACCAGTAAAAACTAAGTTTGTTGACTGACATAGTATTTTAAACCTTTTCWAAACCTTCTAAATCTTGTTTTTTATGATTCCTACATATTTTGAAGAAAAAGTCCTGCTTTTTTGCTAAGAATTCTAAAAGAGCTGGAATCGAAGTGGATTCTTATTTGGAGAAGCCTTTACTGATACGCCTACATCAGACAGCACAGGACACAGATAACGAGAATGACGGGAAGAAAGGACAGCTACACTTACGTCACATTACAGAGCACCCACAACAGCTACATGCATCTTTTAGAGAAAGATCAAGTGCTTAAAGTGTTTAGAAAGAGGTTACAAACTAGTCTTGTTCTCCATCACAGGGCTCGTGACTGGTTGATCAACCTGACTCCCTTCATCCTTCTGCTCAAGCACCTTCCTCCCAAGTGTCCGCCTACTCTTCCTTCTGCTCGTCCTCATCCTCTCACTGCTGGCCTGCTCAACCTCTGCTTTCGCGTCTCTAGTGGATGGTGTTGATGTGGTGGTGGTGCTGGTGGAGGTGGAGGTAGAGGTGCAGGAAGGACGGGAACTCCTAGAAGCTTTGGATGGTTCTGACAGAGAAGTGTTCCTGGTTGTGATGAGGCTGCAGTTCTCCTGATCCTCAACGGGTGGAGTTTTCCCTGCTAACTTTGTTTCAGACTCCTTGCAAATGGTTTTACCTAAAGTGTTGGCTACATGGCTATTTCCAGACCTTGTTTTAAAGTTATTTGAGAGCACTCCATTGTTTTTTCTCCTTATTTCATTTGCCATACTTATGTTGTTTTTTTCTTTTGGACTGTATTTGCTCTTAGTTAATAGTTTGCCATCTTTTGTGGATTTATTTCCCTTGTTAGTTACTGCAGATTCATTTCTAACAACCTTCTGTTTTTGAGGACAAGAAGGGTGTTCAATGGCTTTTATTACAGGGATTTGAGATTTAGGAAATAAACCTTTAAAAGGGTCTAATCTTTCCCTGGCTTTTTGTTGTGCTTCAAATTTCCTGAAAGACAGTTTATTAACATTTGCCTTGCCTTTCACTGCTGGTGGCATGGGACTGCATAGTTTGTAACTAGGCACTCTCAAGGGTAACTTTGACTTGAATATATGGCCTTTGACTCCTTTGGCTTCTGTGTTTGGTATTGCTACATTAGAAACAGCCCTGTCCTCCTTGTGCTTTTCTTCTACTGGGATGAAAGATGTTTCATAATTGCTGCCCTCCTGCTGAGTGGGTCTTGAAGACAGTAAGCTAAATGCAATTCTATTAACTTGAGAAATGTCTGAATGCCTGTCAGGGATAATGCTACTCAATGTTTGCAAATTGCTGCTCTGTTGTGATGGTTCAGAAGGATAATCTGTGCTTTGGTAATAAGTGTTTTGTTTTTCCAAGGACTGTTTGGGTGTGTTTAAACAAATGCTGTCATTTGGATAATATTCTATGACAAATGATGGTCTTTTACTTGAGTTATCTATCACGTTTGATGCACTATAATTACAGTATTCTGCATAGTCTGAGGTTAAGCAGTAAACCTTGTCTACGGCTGTTCCTGAGGTTTCGTCATTACAACAATCAAAGGTGCTGGGTGCTCCATATTTAGAAATGCTATTTGAAGCATCGTTTGTTTTATCAGGTGATAGTTTGAATCCTGTTTTAAAAGTGGAAAATTTGGGCTCAGTTTTGGAATCTAAGTCTCTGCATGTGCTGTAACTACCAGCCACATTAGATATTTTTACAGTGGTAGTCTCAAGAGTGACTTGAGGTACTGATAAATTATACCGAGCATTAAACTGATCCATGTRCTGTGGGGAGGCATCTAACTCCAAGTCCCTAACCCTATAACTGCCCGCTGAGTAGTAATGCTCACCAATCTGAAAAAATTGGAGCCTCTCCTCCACCATGTCTCTCTTGCTCATGTCAATCGCACCACTGCGTGTCATCTCAAACATCTTCCCTTCATGGAAGGGAAATGGGTTTGGTTCACTTGTTGGCGTGCTATCGTCTGTTGGAGTTTGGGCTGGAGTAGTTTCTGCTGTTGTGGCCTGAGATTGGTCCTCAACTGCTAGTCCATAAGGCTTAGGCTCACCGTTGTTTCCCCGTGTTCCTCCCATGTCAATGACTTCTCCATCGCCACTTTTACTGGGCCATGGATCGAAGTCTAGGCCTTTGGTGGCAACAGTCTTAAAAGGAGAATTAAACTCTTCTTCTACTTTATAACTAAAGTAACTGTCTGAAAATCCTTTATCTGACTGTTGTTGCTCCTGGCTTTTAGTGCCATCTTTACCAACACAATCAGCCTTGTCATTATCTAAGGAAGTGTCTTTTTTGAAAGTATCCTTCTGACATTCCTCTAAGATTTTCTCCTCTTCAATAACTTCCAGTTTAGTCTGTGGAAAAGTGCGGTCAGAGGACCTAAATGAGTCTGTTGCCCAAACATCTTTTCGGCTGTCTTGAAGACCAATTAGCCGAAGAGACTCTGCTTGTTCGTACAAACCATCATCTTCATCTTGAAGTTCATATCCATCTAGAGAGTCTATCTCTGTTGCATCTGTGTCGTGAGAAAATTCTGCTGTTGTGGCTATTGAACAGTCTGTTATCGACTGGTCATTTCCATTTTGCTCACATTCATTGTCCTCCCCTTTGCCATTTGAACCTTTGGAACCATTGCTGGAGCCATTGGTCCCACCATTTTCTTTGTGTCCATTTCTATCATGCCTTTTCGCTTTAAGAGGTTTTTCTTTCTCCTTCTTCCTTTCCTCCTCCTCCTCTGGAGAAGTTTTAGAACTCATTTTCTTACATGGAATTGGTTGGAAAATAGACTCATCATCATCTGCATCATCAGCATTGGACTGACTGTCATCTGTCCCGGCGGGGACTGGGGACGGAGGTTGTATGCGTATAATTGGCTCGGTTCGCAGGTGCTTGTCATGTTCTTCCTGTAAGTTCACATCCATCATCTCTGTCTCAGTCTCTGAAGAAGCACGTGAATCTTTTCTTTCTGGGTCGGAAATTTCGGAAGCCGAGTCCAGAGGTGGAGGGGGAGGAAACTCAATATATGCAACACCCTTGTCTTTTGATACTTCGTGTTGCTCCTGTCCTTTAATTTCATCATGCATGCTAGTGACTGTTTCTTTGTTTAAATTATCAGTTAATTTTTGCTGATTATCAATCACTTTTGTTTCTTTTTTGTTAGCATTAACAAGGTCTTCTAGACTATCCTCAACAGTAGTTTTAGTCTTTATAGGGGCTTCTTTAAAAGAGAACACTGTGTTCCCTTGAACGTCTTCCTCTGATTCCTCAGATACCTCCATGATGGGACTTGGTTGCTCTGATATGAATCCCATAAAACCATCAGGGGTTTTGCATGTGAGGTCATAACTGACTTCCTCAGAGCTGGGGGTTTCTGGTGTAAGAGGGCTTTTACCAGAGCTGTCTATGAAAGAAACCTGCTCTAATGTGTCATCGTCAGGGCTTATGGGGCTAAGTGTGGAGTTTGATTTCTGTTTGACATTGTAGAGTGCTCCCTTAGCTTCCCTCTCTGCCTGCCTGCCGACCTGCACATAAACAGGTAATGTTTTGACGCCCTTGAAATTCTCTTTAGTTGTTACAGGAGAGGAAGGAGTTATAACTTTCTCTAGTATTTCCCCAGGGCTAGGAAGGTTATTAGAGTTGGAATCTTTGGGTGCATTGTCTAGAATTTCAAAGGTTAGGTCAGTTTTTGCTGGACCTGTCTCAAGGATTTTGGTTTTAGATAGTGTAGGTATCTGTGAGGGCTTTGCTAGTGTCAGTTTCTTTGTGAGGTCATTATCTAATGGGAGAGAGGGTGTTCTAATGGGGATCTGAGATTCAGTCTTTTTTCTGAGGTTTTTGTTTTGTGGTTCTTCTGCATCATTTCTGGGTGCTTCATCTTTTGTTTCTTTGGGTAAATAGGCACTTTTTGTGGTTTGTTGGCATTTTTTAGCATCACTTTCATAAACATTGTGTGTTTTAAATTGGCTTTTATTGCTGTCTTTTATTTCCTGAGTTGCACAAGAAGTAGTATCTTTACCTTTAGCTGTTGCTTTATCAATTTTAGTTTCTCTAATTTGTTGCGAGGTTTCAACAAGGTTTTTGTTTGGAAGCTTGTCTACTTTGGGGATTTTMGATGATGGCGTCTGGTCAGGCTTAGTACCTGCTGTTTCTTTCTCAGTGTTCTTTTTTTGCCCATCTTCTTCTGATATTTCTGAAACTTTTGATGTTTTTSCTCCAGCAAATAACTGATAAACAGGAAGTTTGCTTTCCTGTAATTTCTTTATGGATGGTTTTGGTTGTACCGGTGGGGGTATTTTGGTTGGACTCGATTGACTTTGACTAGCTTTCAAGGCTTCTGATTCAAATTTCATCCTCACTGCACTGACTTTGGATGTTGTTTTTACATGATCAGGAGAAGAGGGTTCAGATGTACTAAACTTAGGCTCTTGTTTTATTTTATCTTCACTGGTACTACAGAAAAGTGTTTTCTGAGGACTGCTTGGTAAGCTATGGCTCTTCTTTTCAACCACTGTGGCGGTTCCAAACATTTTACCAACTGAAGGCTCCCTGAGTCTGCTTTTACTGAAGCCCTCATCTCCTGCTTTAGGGGTCTGTTTTGTTTTCTCTGGGCTGCTGTAGACTGAGCTAGGCCAAGWTCGAGGCTCTTTCAGCTCTCTTTTAACAGGCTTTTTCTCAGGGGACTGCAGCTCATCATTCAGCTTTTCTGTTTTATCACGGAAAAACTGTGACACCTCACTGAGTTTTTCTTCAGCTTCCTTTACGGTCTGATCTACACGATCCTCATAAAGCAGCTTATCCCTGCTCTTRTCGTGTTTGTCCTCAGTAAATCTCATCCAAACTGCATGTTTGGGACTGCCCTGTTCTGTGGAGTAATGGAGCACTGTCACCTTGTCAAACTGAGACGGTTCATCCTTGTGAAGGAATTTACCAGATTTAGGAGACCCATCTTTTGATGACTTAGAAACAAACTCTCTTTTGGGGCTTCCCTGGTGCTGATTTGGSATGCCAGTGCTACCAGTTTCCTCAGAAACTAGGCGTCGGTTTTTGTCAGCTACTCCTGTAGAATCTTCTATATCAGAAAAGGATTGTAGTGATGGGTCAATTTTCTCAGAAAGAAGCATTTTCTCAGCAAACCTATAAGACTCCCCTCGAACCTCTGATAATTCATCATCACAGTATTCTATGGAGTGCTGACTGAGGAGTTTTAGAGCTTTATATGAATCATCTGCCATTAGTTGGGCTGAACTTGGGCGACTGTCCTCTTCTTGTGACACTGGGGTGTTAACACGAGATGTTTCCAGGAAGGAGGGTAAGGATTCTTCGGCAGTAAGTTCCTCTTCTTCCTGTTGGACTTCATCGTAATCAGTAAGCTCCTTTATTCCACGGTCACCTTTATAGATGTAAACTTCAGGGTGTTTCTTTGTTTCTCTGATAATAACTTCTGTTGGTTCTGCTGTGCTGTGGCCCTTTTCAATATGAACTTCTATTATCCTTTCAACCTTTGGTTTTGACTTAATGTCTCTGTCTAGAAATCTAGGAGTCAGCTCATCACCTTTCACTGAATCTTGGCTAGCTTTGTGTTCAAAAAGTCCTGCTAGGTCTTTAGATGGGTCCCGCCCTGACTGAAAAGCTTTCATGATATCTCGAACGGACATAGCTTCCTCTATCATCTCTGTGCCATCAGTTAGTTGGGGCTTGTGATATACCATTCTAGTTGTTGTAGTAATATGTGTTTCCTCTTTAAGACACATGCTTTTGTTCATCAAGGCATCATCTTCTGGAATTTTCATCTGAAGGGCTTTGGCTGCAGCTGCTTCAGGCTCCACAGCTGGGAGAGCAGATGCAGCCTCATCCATGAGACCAGGCTCGCAAAGATCGTCTGGCTGCTCGTAGCTCCTAATGTGGACGACCTCAGTTCTGGTCTCAGTTACACAAGGGGGGATTGGTGAGTCTGTGAATAAAGGTTTGGGTCCTGTGCTCTCTGCACTCTGAGGAGCAGAGGGCGTTTTTTCACTCCTCGTCTCAAACCCGCTGTCTGATAGGGGACTTTTATCCTGCTCGTGAGACAGGTCCTCAGGAGATTCCAGTATTGTTTCTGACCCCTGATATGACTCGGCAAGCTTGCTCAAGTCCTTCTCTGAGGGAGACCTGAGCATGCCTGAGACCGGCGGAGGCATTTTGAGTTTGTTCTCTTGTATGGACACAGATGGTTTGAGGACTCGTTTTTGTTTCTCTTCCCCATCACTCTTCAACTCTTCCTCATATCTACTTTTCAGCTCAGCCATTTTTGACAATGAGCTAGCACCAATGTCATTTGTTAAGAAATCTACTACTTCAGCTAACTTGAGCTTGTTTGACAAGGACTGGTGGGTAAAGAGTGCGTCTTCATTAAAAGCAGGGTAATAGTCTGGGAGGGTACTTCTTTGTGACTCCTCAATCTCATCTTTGGAAAATTCCTCCCATTCATCCTCTGAGGCTTTCTCTTCACCAGCCTTGCCTTTAGTCATATCTTTCTGTAATATTTCACTGACTTTGACTAAATCTTCTTTCACCCTCTCAACTAGAGTATACGGCTCCTCATCCAGCAACTTAGATTCTTTAGGAGTGCCAGTTTGTGATGTTTGTACAGTTTTAGCTGCTGTCTGAGTGTCTGTCTGTAGGATAGCCGTCATTCTGATTAGATCCTCTTTCATGTCTGCAACATCTTTCAGTATTTCCTGGTTAGAAGCTGCAGTTGGGTGGATGACGGGTGGAGTGATAAATGGAGGGGATTTTAACTGGGACTTTATTTTTGTTCCAGTAACACAAGAAGACAAAGAGGAGGATGAAGAACGAGGGGAATCCGGATGCGCCATTTTGAGAGACCCAGGCCCTGGTTTGACCAGAGTCTCTGGAATGACATTGACCAATGAATAAACAGGGACAGTCATTGTGTTAGAGACTGTTGAGCTTGGGGGGGCAGCGACAGATCTCAGAGAACCATAAGCAGAACTTGGTGCTGCAGATCTACGTGTGGAGGATAGTGATTTAAGTGTGCCAAATCCTGAGACAGAGTAGGAATCTATAGCATCATTTATGGCTGCACTGACACCAGACGTTGCTGCCTGTGTKGTGGCTTGGATCCTCTCCTGAAGACTGCTGCTTCTCTCTGAGAAAAGACGTGACGTGGGGGAGGACGGCGTTGAGGAGGAGGAAATATATTTAACAGGTGTGGTTGATCCATTCATCACTGAAAAATCTGAGCAGGCAACAGTCGTCTGACCAGATGAGGAGAGGGATAAAACCGATGTCCTCCCTCCTCGGGATGAAAGTGTTGAATCAACAGAGGTTTTTAAAGATGACAGACTAGAGATACTTTTTACGGAAGATGTGGCGGCTGCCGCTGCTTCTGTCACGACAGCGGACCCAAGGGCAGTTTTAAAAGGCAGATTAGAACTGTATATACTGGTCAGTATTTTTGGCGATGCGGCAGAAGATATAGGGGAGGAGGATCTGTCAGATAAAGAGCCGTTAGGTATTGAATGAATGGGAGTGGTCCTTGAGGTGTATGCTGAAGCAAGGTTTTTGATTGAAACTGGATCTGTGGCAGGTTTACTTCCATAKGTCAGAAGGCTAGCAGGACCTTGATGGGGGTATTGACCCTGCTGGACAACTGTTTTAATGGGTGAAGGCACAGTCCTGTAAGACCTGATTGGGGATGAAGATGACATGTCGGTGACAGATTTAACTGGGGATGACAAGGCAGGTGCTGGAGGTGAAGTTCCCAGGGTGGCTTTTATAACTGTGGGACATGCAGGTGAAGGGGCTGAGAGGGGCCAGGCAGACTTTAATGGAGAACCAGCGGGTGACCCTGCCGGTGAATCATTAGGGGGGAAGGACCCCCCCACTCCGATGGCTCTTGCTTGGCCAGGGATGGTAATAGGAGCAGTCGACCATGGTGGGTAAGGTCGGGTTGGAAAGACAGGTTTGTGAGGGTAACCAGCAGGCAGTGCTCTTGCTGTTGCGCTTCGTTCAACTGCTGTTTCTTCAGGTGAATTTAAGAGAAAATTAAGACGAATGGATGGCAAAAAATAAAAACAATCAAAAGAATGCAAAATAGTAAAAGACAACAAAAAATAAGTTGGGAGAAAAAAAAGAGAAAAATAAATGTGAAAAAAGAGAAGACCAGAGGAGGAAGAGTTGGTCAGTGATGCAATTGTAGAATCAACAAGGGAAAAAAACAGCAATTTTGCTGGGTAAGACATTTGAGTGCACCTGAAAATGGAGTTATAAAAAGAACAATTTGTGCTCCTATGTGTTCAATAATATAAAGATGAACTAAACAGCAGCAATAACAAAAAGGAAATAAAAACTGAACAAAGCACATACAGCAGCAAAGTAAATTCCAAAGACAATGGCGCAGACTGACAGATGAGACAGAAAAAGATGACCGGACAAATGCACCAAAATTAACACAAAAAATGTTTTCTCTCTTTGGACTTCTAAWGTTTTAATGCTTTCAAGTTTCTGGCTCAAAATTCAGTCCGCTTTTTATAGTGCCTTTTATCTGTTTGGCCCAAAAAGGACTTTTTTTCTTCTTCCCCCAAATACAATTCAGACACTRCGATTAAATAAAGAGCTGTAAAAGTTCTCATTTTTCTCTTTGAAAATAAAGCAAACAGAATATGACAAAATGTGCTGCCTAAGACTCAAGTTTTGGCCCATTTTGTCATGCAGCATCAAGCAAAAGCTGTGGAAAAACTGTAAAAAATAAATAAATAAAAACTTTTCAATAAAAGCCAAACTCAAGAGCCCTATCATGCATCGTTGTACCAAACAAAGCTGCAAAATTGCCACAAAGTCAAAAAGAGTTACAAAACCAAAGAGAACAAATTCAATTACAATTAAATTTTACTTTTACTTCCCAAAAAAGATGTTTTAATGTCGGTACGTAAAAGTAAAATTTATGYAAAAGCTGACTTGTAAAAAAACAACAGTGGAAATCAACCAAACTGGAAAGAAGTACACCTCACAATGTGGTCAGGCATGGCACACAAACATAAACACCACTCACTGACTCATGCAAAATAAGATATGTACCATGTTGTAAACAAGCACATGGATCGTGTGTGTTATATGGGATGAGAAATAGGCATATATATCAGGAAATACATCTACACACTCATGTATTTAGCAAGTTAATTAAAACTGTTAGCAAGCTATCCAATAAAATTTGCATCATTTTAAACTCAAAGATTTYGCTATTGATGGTGTCAAACTCACTCGGTGCAGGCTCAGTCAGATAGCTGTAGCGCTTACGTAAGGCTAGGGATGCAAAAGTATGACGTCGATCTGGCTTTTCAGTCTGCAACAATACGAAAGACAAAAAATCCTCTCAGTTTTATGTCAAAGTGCTGCAAAATGAGCACATTTTGAAGTCAAATAAGGACAAACCCTCAAGTTTGCATTAATTTGAACTCAGAAGAATATATCAGTAAAAGTACAGTCGGTTGAAAATACCACAATTTAGATTAGTAGTTTAATAAGCTAGTAAATTTAGAATGAGTTAGTTATGAGAAAATTAAAATCTTTACAGTACAAAATCTTAAATGTAGATTAGGCAAATTTTTGATGTTAATTGTTTAAACTGCAGAGCCTCATATCTTATAATGTAATGTTTAATGGATAAAGGTTGGACATTAAACATGAACATTTTCCAAATCTACCACAAATCATGCAGAACTGAGCGGCTAGAGGTGGCTGCAGACAAGGAAAGCTGACATTGGTCTTGCACAAGTGGTTAAAAAACCAAACTTCAAATAGCAGAGCAGGGTATAGATCTGCCGCAGAGGAAAGCACATGGTGGGGAGGGTGTGGTTTACCTCATCCTCGGCATCTGAATCCATTTCCTGGTTCCCAAGATGCATTGCAGAAACAGGAGGAAGTAACATGATGGAAAGCAGGGGAGGGGGAAAGAAACATCAGGGAGTGAAAAAGGATTGATTGAGAAAAGCTTCAACTCAGAAGTGAAGCCACTTAAGCAAAATAAAATAAACAAATGAAACACAGACGAGAAATAAAAAGAAGCACCAACATTCAAAAGCAAAACACAGCAAGCCATAAAAAGCCAGCCCAATAATCAAAACAGCTCTTCAGCGCACAAGCCCTCAGCCGAAAGCAAGCTGTCCAAATCAAAAGGCGGGAAGAGTCAAAATAAAACTGGCGATGACACAAATCCACTGCAGAGATAACCAGTGTGTAAGCAGAGAGAAACAGATAAAAGACACAGTGGCAGCGGTTTTTGCCAAAGTCTTTCTCTGTCTTTCATCTATCAGCGTCACGAGGCAGAAACACCCTAACCATAAACACGGTTATGGATGTGGACACAGAATGATGAGTTCACGCTCACTTACCTTTTTCACTGCAGGAAGTGTGATGTTCAGGTTGCACACGGCGGTCTGYGGGAGGCCTTTTGGGGACTTACAGTCTTTCAGGAAAGTGAGGCGACCGCAGGGCTCCTGACTGGGATCTCTGACCTACAAACAAAATGCACCTGTAAGCACTTCATTTACTTTTCAGAGSCTATGTCCAGATTTGCTTCATTTAATAAATGTCCATGTGGTGAGGTGGAATAAYGCTGGAGTACCTTGACACAGAAGGGCAAACGGTTTTCCTTGAAGGCGTAGAAGTTCAGAACTAACTGCTGACCAGCTTTGGTCAGAGGAGCCAAGTTTCCATAGCAGTCCACATAAATGGGCCTTCCCTCTAAAACCTAAAACAAACATTAACAATCAGAAAAAAAAGTACAAAATCTGTAGTTTTCAAAATGTTTAAGGCAAATAGATAGAGTCGGCTTGGTGGGATTTGTCCACACCATTTTGCCTGATTGGGATCGCCACCTTGAGAGTACCAGCAGAAACTCTAAAGCAGATGGAAAATTGTTGTCGTCTGCCTGTCTTTTCTGTTCCAAAAACAACGGATTACAGAATCTGGATCTCCCCGGCAAGGGCCTTGGATCTGTAGACTAAATTCTTCCTGGCTGGATGTGTTGACAAAGGCTCTGCCCCCCACCTTCCCCCCTCCTCTCACCTGTCTAATTCTGTTTTCCAGAGCAGGCTGAAGGCTGCACAGAATGAACAGTTCCATCAATATTTCTGGACTATAGCTGCGCTGGTTTTGGGGACTGGATTCTTCGGGACCCCTTAAACTCACTTACTC